ACTGACTATATTTCGTTCCCGATTTAAGACGAAAGCTATTCCGGGCTCTCATTGGATGAATTTCCAGGGGTGCTCGATTCCCATTGGTTCCTAATTAATGCTCCTATACTCTCATTGGGTCTCGGCTAATTCTTTGTTCTTAGCTTGTTCTGACATGATCCAGGAAATACTAGGTTCTTGAACCAAGTTTTATGAGTTCCTGGATAATAAAACCTGCTAATGATTGCTTCCTCTTTGATGGCCTTTCTCTCCCAGATTTCTTAATCCTTGTCTTTATTAAAATCTTCTAAAACATACATTGCATACATGTTGGGGCGGGTTTGCATCCAGTTATGTACAAATTATGACATATATATATAGATATGTGTTATTAAGCGAACTATGAATAGTTATTTTAAACGGCGAATTAGATCAGTTATATCTAAAAATGAAAATGCCTAAATAAATAAAACCTACCAAATATTTCAAATTAGAGCAGTTATTATATAAATATTTATATTATATGTGTTATAAAGATATTGAGAAGATTTAGATTTTAACGCGCGCACAGGGAAGTCACGTGCTCGCCGGCAGCCAATGGGCGCGCGCCGCCGTCAGATCGCCCGCGTTCTAGAGGGCGCTGCTCGTGAGCTAAGTCGAATAATTTGAATATATAGTTTTAATAATTGATTTATATATTTTTTAAAATAGCCTATCGTCATCCCCGTTATTTTTACCTATGTATGGAAATTTTGGGTTGAATTAGTGAACTACTGCGAATTTGTATACAGGTCATACAGACAGACAAACATACAAACATTCACTTTTATATATATAGAAGATATATACCGGCCGTCTTTCTATCATTTGCATTTTTTATTTTTTTATTTTATTTTCTTTCACTCTCTACCTTTTTTATTTTTCACTTTTTTTTATTACTTTTTTACTATTTAGCTTACCTTAGTGCTGTCACTCTGGTTAGCATATTCTATTTCTTTTGCATATTTGTGTTTATATAAGTTGTGTTTAGCATCTTTTATAAACATACATCTGCATTTTTTTTTCACTCTTGTTTATTTGCATATATATATATTACACTTATTTATTTTGTAGTTAAACACTACAAAATTACTTTATTCTCTTGCATATTGCAATCGTTACATTTGCATACAACACAGCAAAACAAGAGTCTACTGGGTTCACCCCATTTTTCCTTGTACACGGGCGTGAAGCCGAGACTCCACTTGACGTGTTATTCCCCAAGTTATTGCCAGAAGACGATGATTTCATCCAAACTCTAGGGGCAAGAGCCGAAGAAGCACGAAAACTGGCACGTATCCACTCCATGAGATCTCAAGATAGCAATAAACATCGCTATGACGCCCATCACAGAAATATAATTTATCAGCCTGGAGATTTTGTATGGATCTTTATTCCTGTGCGTAAAGTGGGATATTCGGAAAAACTAATGAGACGTTACTTCGGCCCATACAAAGTAACCCGAAAAATATCTGATGTGACCTATGAAGTTGAAACATTCGGAAACCAGCAAGGTCGTCGTAAAACAAAAGATTCAGTTCACATTTGTAGGATGAAACCTTATTTAAACCCAGAGGACCAGGAGGACCAGCTAGAAGAGGACCCAGAAGATGACTCGACAAACTTCCAGGAAGAAGACATCCCCACTGAACGAACACAACAACCACAGACCCGCGAAGAGATCTCAGGCCCTATCACCCGTTCTTGAGACTGAGGATGTAAGTCTCCTTCTGAGCATCGGGTCGATGCTCTTTATAGGGGGAGGCTATGTGGCGAAGAAATATTTTATTATTTAATTTAATATTATTCAATGAAAATATATTCAACAGATTATAAAAATATATATTAATCTGTATTTGTGAAATCATCTTTAAATTATTTCTTTGCTTGCTTGTGCTTAAGATTCTCTAGCTGTAAATAGTTTTGCTGACTTGTTAATAATTGTCGACTCGTCGCTGTGACGTCATCAATAAATACCTTTACATCTTAGGATATTCCAAGGCTTGATTTCTACGCTACAACTGGGTCCCATTATTATTTTTAAAAAGAATGGCAGTTTCTCAGTTAAATAATACTCCAAATAATATCGAAACTACTCCAGCAAAGCCCCAATATGGGAAAGTTATCATGACTTTAGAAAACTGTATTTTGCCCCCTGAGAAACTAATAACCACCCCTTCGCAAAGTGATGGTTTAGATAAAGAAGCAGAGTTAGATTTAAGATTTTTAGGATGTGAAATTATACAAACTGCTGGCATTCTGCTAAAATTAACTCAAGTTGCCATGGCCACAGGTCAAATTATATTTCAGCGGTTTTATTACTGCAAGTCCTTCGTCCGTCACTCAATGGAGATTGTGGCAATGGCGGCCATCACCCTGGCCTCCAAGATTGAAGAATCCCCGCGCCGGATCAGAGACGTCATCAACGTCTTACATCACATCAAACAAGTCAGAGCTGGAAAAACCCCGCAGCCATTAATCCTAGACCACAACTACTTCACACAGAAAACCCAAGTCATAAAGGCAGAGCGCAGGATCCTCAAAGAACTGGGCTTCTGTGTCCACGTCAAACATCCCCACAAAATCATAGTGACCTTGCTGGAAGTCCTGAAGACCAACCGGCCTAACCTGCTCCAGACAGCCTGGAACTACATGAACGACAGCCTGCGTTCTGATGTCTTCCTGAGACACGCTCCGGAGCACATAGCGTGCGCCTGTATCTACCTCAGTGCCAGGTTGCTACAGATCGCCCTGCCCTCCAAGCCCGCCTGGTTCCTGATGTTTGGCATCAATGAGACAACCATCAATGAGATCTGTAACACCATTCTCAATCTCTACGCCAGGAAGAAGCCGGACCTGGAACAGCTAGAGAAGACAGTAGAAGATCTCAGGAAGGCCCAACAAGATGCCAAGCAGAAGGCCAGGAGCACGGCCTCAGGGACGGCCACCCCTGTCAACAACAACACTTCCACCTTCTCTCCAAAGACAAATTCCATCAAATTGACCGTGATGTCCCCCAAAGACAAACTAAAGGAGAGCACCAGTCCCACCAACCATCACAGAAAGAGGAGCCGCAGTCCCTCAGTCTCTCCACAACCACGCAAGCGGCGACAATCCGAGTCCTCAGCAGGGAGCACCTCCCCAGGCAGTTCCCCATCCCACCATCGCGCCAAGACTCCGCCGCGGAGCTACAAGGAGCATAGACATCGCCACCACAAGCATCGGTCCCCTCACAGATCCTCCAACGGCAAGCAGCGATACAAGGACAGAACATCCTCTTACTACAAGAACAGCAGTAGCACGGACAAGAAGAACCATTACTCCTCCAAGTCTCACAAGTCCACCAAGATATCCAAGGAGAGACATCGCCATCGCTGACTCACTGACAGACAGACTCCGTGTCGTGTAAATATTATTTTCTAAATTTGTACATTGTGGATGGATGGAACTCGGATGGAGACATCTGACACTCTTCTTTGGACACGACAATCATTACCAAGCTTTGAAGAAAGATATGAAATAAGTGAAAAGGTATATTTATATAATGAATACACTATACAATATATTATCATTACATTGAAAGAACAACAATAAATTATATTTTTTCTCACAAGTTCTGCAATGTTTTAGGAGGGTCTCTCAAGAGAGACTCTGCAGTATCAATTTAGTCTACACTATAGTAAATATCTCTCATTTTCTTTCTTTTTTTTTTTTTGACAAAGTCATTTCAAATCTGTGGACACAACTTCATATAAAATGAAAGGATTTAAGAGCACGAATGTTTCTTTTATACATATTACAAACTTCTACTGCCCTTTCTGCGATGAAAAAATATATTGAGAGGGCTTGGCTCATCAGTGGTGAACCCTCCCAGCGGTTTCGCCAATTTAATCCACCAGACCGCTTCTCAGAGCTCTAATACTGTATTGGACGATTCTGCTTATATACGCAGCACTGAAGGATATAATCTCAGAAATGGTTTTCAAGAAAACTATGGACATAAGCTTATAGGACAGTAGAATTACATTCTAATATTTGCATCGAGCAATGCTCTTCGGCAAACAATAAAGACAAGGCCAGTTAGGCATAAATTAACACATATGTATAGATGGCGCGTTATTGCTTTGTGTTAACAACTTCATATATTTCAAGGTTTTCTTCGTTTAAAAATTACCTACTATGACATTATAAAATAAAGGAGTTCCACTATATATCTTTGATATTGTGTTGTATGTTCAAAACTTTTAATCAAAAATAATAAATATATAACAAAGTCACGTTAGACATAAGCCTTAATAAAGAGTTTTACCAAAATATATAGGTTTTTAACTTTTATAATTAGACAATTTTTATTTATATTTAGACATTTTTGATTTTATTTAATTTAGGCACTTTCATTTTTATTTAGACACATCAACTTTTCTATAATAAGGCCATGTGTCTAAACTGAAATGAAAAATGTCTAAATTAAACTGAAAAATGTCAAAATATAAATTAAAATTGTCCAATTAAAAGTTAAAAACCTATATATCATAAAGTTACAAGAGGAAAGTATCCAGGTACAAAAAGTTGCACCGCTCCCTTTAAAATGCTTTGTCCCTTTAGGAGGCTATTATAGAGAGAAGAATTAAAAATAAAGAAGGCATCTCCTGACCACGAGCACATGTGCTTTTTAGATGGCAGAGCGCCATCTAGTGGAGCAAAAATAAACTAAACGTCTATTTAGTTTGCTCCGAGAAGAATGTGTACATATATAGGGAAATGATTTTTTCTCTACAAAAATAATATTTAAACACATTTTTTTTTCTCCTTTCCTGGACAAAATTACATTGGGCAAACAAATTGTTTTAGTTTTGGAGACTAATGCTTTCTACTATTTTTAACTTTCTGGGTTTTGTTCGCACATCCCCACAAAAGGTTTTTAATATAAATATCATGTGTCTTGAAGCTTGAATACAACTTATTAGATCACCCTAATGCCTACGGCCATGCCACATTTAAAACACCGGTTCTCGTCCGATCACCAAAGTTGGGCCCGGTCAGTACTTGGGAGGGTGACCACCTGGGAACACCGGGTGCTGTAGGCTATTACCTTTTTTTTATTTTAATATTATCAAATACATTTATAAATCTTTGTGCACCTTCTAATAAAAGTAGTACCTTTTCCTCTCTTTTTTTTAACTCATGTGGTGTCAATAACTTTTTCTTAAACTTCTTTCGTCCGTGTCTACGATTCAAAAAATATATATATAAAGCGGTAGTTTAAAAAAAAAGAGAGAAGAAGAAAAGGTTCAGGGTGAGAAAGTATATACTTCAAGGCCAACTGTGAAAAATAAATGTTTATAGAGATATTTTTTCATAGATGGCAGCGCAACATCGTCAACATTCAGTTGCGCTATCAGGCGGTGTGTCCTTTTAGCACATTCTGTAATAATGAGTTTTTTTTTTTCAAATATCATTTTACTTGAAATTATTTGGGGGGTAGAAATCATAGATTAGGAAGAGTATTAGATAAAGATGACAGTTATTCATTTTCAATTTAATATCATTTTTACTTATATAGACCGAAATACCCATCTTTGTGCCTGCCTTTGCCAACGCTAGCCCATGAAAATTGTTCTAACAAATGTTATTTGTAACAATTTTAATTTTTTCCAATCATAGTACAGTAGAACCTCCCTTTAGTGGACACCTCTCAACAAAGGACAGTTTTCATTTGCAAAAATACCATTTTTACCATTTAGAAACTCTCCGGTAAGAAACAACTCTACCTAAAGGACACTTTGGCTCTGCAATTCGGTGTCCTTTACAGGGAGGTTCTACTGTATATGGTAAGAATTTTTTTTTATCGACTCTGAAGTTTAGGTGGAACAGTTCCAAACAATATTTGGATCTTTGATATACATAAAGGTTGTGTGTTTATGTGAATATCACCAGATGTGTCAAATATAATGAGGAAATTTGGGGCAAACACATTTAGTTACTTTAAAAAAATAATAAATTAAATTGAAATATCTCTTCAATTTTTTTCAAAATATATAACCTTGGCCTTTGTGTCAGCCTGGGGAGGGTCCAGGGCTGGTTAACCCAAAAGATAGTGACGTGTTCAGACGCCTCGGGCCTCTCCTGCAAGGGAGGGGAGTTTAGGCGAAATCACCATCCTGGCCTATGGCTTGTTCATGGTGGTGTCAAGACTGAAGAACCCTTCTACGCCTCAAGGTCGCAGGGAAAGGGTGGGACATGGTTAGGCATGGTATTGGGCGATTTATGGTATCCACATTGTTACAAAGGTTTCTATATTATATAACAGTAGTTGCGAAAATAAGAATTTGCTAGTATACCGTCATCAATCTTTTGCCTATACCAAAATATTAATATTATCCTGCTTGCAGGTCATTTGGGATATTCCAGGCTAGGAAAAGTGACAGTGACTCTTACAGGCCTATTTCCTTTTAATGTTACATCTGGATATATATGGAATCTGCAAATTCCTTTAGAATATTGAACATCAAGTGTAAAGTTTTAATTTCGAAATACCTCAAAGTTGAACAAGGCCTTGAGCAAGCGATTTCTATATACTATTTAATTGAAACTCTTTTGAAACTCTCCCTACCTCAAGTAGAAACTAATTTGTTTGAAAGACGACCGCTCTCAAAGTGGTGCAATGTTTTCGCAAACTAATTATTTCTCCATGATTGCCAACCCCACCTCATGCCCTTATGGATCTTCACCATATTATGGCCCTGCGTTCCCCTGCACTCCTGGTGCAGTCCCTCCAGTCAATCGGCAATCAAGGTCTTAAATACCTCTGAAAAGTGACCTCCCAACTTGTTTCCCTACTACGGACCTAATCTACAGCGTGATTGCTTCCATCCCAGAACCATCCGAGAAAACTATCGCTTCTGGGACCAACGTCGCAGCGCCATTCCACACTACGTCTCTAGACAATATTCTCTCGGGCCTCCTCGAGTTTGCCCATCTGAACCCAAATTCTGCGAGGTCTTCAAAACCGCTGAATCATTCTGATTCCCCTTGCGAGTGTCCTCCAGTCATGCCACCAAAGCACTCTGAATATGATGCATTGCCTTCTGGGACCAAATTCGCAACACCATTACACACGTCGTCTCTAGACAATATTCTCTCGGGCCTTCCCGAGTTTGCCCATCTGAACCCGAACTTTGCAAGGTCTTCAAAACCGCTGAATCATTATGATTCACCTTGCGAATACCCTCCAATCATGCCACCAAAGCACCAAGCAGACGCCTTCACCTCAGAACTTCCAGATTTGCCCCTAGATGAAGACGACTATCTGGAGTTGGAAGAGGAGGACAACGCGCCACCATCTTCACCTGATTCCGAAGTTCAGGCCCCTCAAGAACCAAGCTCCAAGCTGGAAAGAGAGACACCTCTCCCAGAGGCACAAGATGCCACCTCAGAAACGACCACCAGGGACCCTGCCTCTACTGACCCCCTGGAGAATGGGAGCGAGGCACCAGCTGCACCCATAAGTACATTGGGTGTCCTTACTCATGATCCTGGCGGCCCCTCTTCAGGGACCATTTACCCAGAGGACCAGCAAGCACGAAATGGAGCCCCACCCTGCGGGAACCAGTTCCAAGACCCTGCCTCCGCGCCGGCCCCCCCAGTAGGAAAGAATGAGGCACCAGCTACCCCTAGAGCTATATCAGATGTCCTCACTCATGATCCCGGCGGCCCCTCTTCATGGACCATTAACCCAGTGGACCAGCAAGCACAAAATGGAGTCCCATCCTACAGGAACCATGTATTGATTCAAGACCCTACTTCCCCACCAGGCCCCCCAATAGAAAAGAATGAGGCACCAGCTATACCTAGAACTATACCAGGTGTCCTCATTCATGATCCCGGGGCCCCCCTTTGAGAACCTATATTTATAAGGACCAGAAGATATTAGATGGAACTCCACCCCAAGAATCCCGGTCTCAAGACCCCCCTGCCCCAACCGACCCCCTAGGAGACAAGAGCGAGGCACCAGCTCCAGCTAGAAGTAAACCAGGACGCCTCGTTCATGATCCTGGGGGCTCTTCTCCAAGTACCTGCAGACCTATTGACCAAACAGGTCTAGGAGGATCGCCACCCTACCGGAACCGAACCCAAGACTCTTCTGCCCCTGAGGACCACCACTGTAAATACTTTTGGACCCAGGAAAGGAGACGGACCAGAGACCGGAAGGAGCAACGGAGAGAAGCTGCAGTCCCCAGGCACCGAAAATGGAGGACCCCGCCCTGGCCCTTTTTGAGAAAGTGGACCCTCCCCCCTTGGCCAGGAACCCTGTACCCCAAAGCCTAGACTGCTTGACCATTTTACTGTACCAAACTAGCACTGGCAAGCATTTTCTAGTGAAGGCTCTTCGACTATCTCTTGTATTTTTTTAAGATGCCTTCAATAAAGTTTTTTAATCTGTTCTTATCAGCTTAATTTGAAGCTTCCTCGAAGAATTGAAGCCTGCACCTCGACGGCCACGAGAATCTCCAGGAACCCCACCCACACTGTAAGTCGTTTTTTATTAATATACTAGCTAATGTACCCGGCTTTGCCCGGGTTTTACCCGAGTAAAGGTTTGTCTAACGAACATTTGTTAAAACAATTCTCTATAAACTTATAAAAAAAATAATAGATATATTTTGATAATATGAAACTCGTAAATTTGAATCTCTCGATAAAAACAACTCTAGTATTAGTTCTTTACAAAACAATTATCTATAAACTTACAAAAAAATAATAGATATATTTTGATAATTTGAAACTCGCAAATTTGAATCTCTCGATAAAGTGATCATTTTTCCCCGGTCCCTGTGTGCCGTGTCATTCTGAATTTTGGCTTTCCTAATTTTCTACATTAAAAAATCATCGTTTTATCTAATGAACATATTTTCCCGGTCCCTTGAAAAATACTCGATAAGTTGAATAAAATCATGCCCCCGCGAGGTTTTTTTTACTTGTCTACTTGGCACAGCTGTATCACCAACTCTGCCCCCGCGCGCCAGGACATCTTGACCCCTCTGATTGGTCGATGGGTACTTGGACTGTTCATTCGGCCGGCGGCTGGGCGATTACATCACGGGGTGGGGCAGACTTAAGCCTATCTCCGTCGCAAGGTGGCGCTGCTTCTGAGTTAAAGCTACAAATATGCAAATAACTCTAAGGATATTCAATAATTTTTTTTTGGCAAACCTTTCCGGGGATACACCTAATAATATCCCAAAATTTCACGGCGATTGGATGTATGGTTTTTGAATCCATAGAGAACACACACACACAGACACACACACACACATACATTCATTTATATATATATACAGTATATAGATGTGTCATGAAGATATTGAGAAGATTTAGATTTTAACGCGCGCACAGCTCGGCAAGTGTTATGTACCTAAGCTCCGATAGATGGCGGGCGCGCTAGGCGGCAAGTTTGTAAACAATAGTCGCCATCTTGAGGGGTGTAGCCGAACGCCAGCCGTTTGGGTCTCTGACATTAATTCCTTAATTCACCATTATTTTTATTATTTAACTTAGTCTATTTCTTTTTATCCCTCAAACTATTCAACTATTTAAAGTCATCTAATAAATTATTATTTTATTATACCCAAACGACTCGTCACCTTCATTACTGTGACAATAATAATATTTCAAGAGCAGTTATTTTAAACGACGAATTAGATCATTTACATCAAAAAATGAAAAATAAAAATATGTAAATAAAATATGAAATAAAAAATAAAATGAAAAATAAATAAAACCTACCAAATATTTCAAATTAGAGCAGTTATATTTATACTACTAGCGGATGTACCCGGCTTCGCCCGGGTTTTACCCGAGTAAAGGTTTGTCTAACGAACATTTGTTGAAACAATTCTCTATAAACTTATTTTAAAAAAATAATAGATATATTTTGATAATTTGAAACTCGTAAATTTGAATCTCTCGATAAAGTGAACATTTTTCCCGGTCCCTGTGTGCCGTGTCATCCTGAATTTTGTCTTTCCTAATATTCTACATTACAAAATCATCGTTTTATCTAGTGAACATTTTTCCCGGTCCCTTG